ACTACAAACTTTACATGGTAACATAACCTACTAAGCGTAATGTTCAATTTATTCAACACCCGTACTGGTCAACAACATATACCATTTACGATATTCCTCTTTGACATTTCCTTCACCATTTCTCCTTATCATTCCACTCATTTATTCATCGCTGAAATCTCACACGGAAATCTACAAGAGTAAAGGTTAGATTAAGTTAGGTTATAGAATTACGAAGCAGTGGTAACAACGATATCTCAGAGATATCCGAATACAAACTGTGAGTAATGGTATTCGAATAACGATGGTAGTTTGGAAACATAGCTAGTTTAATTGAAGACGAATGAACGTTTGTTTTCTTCTATTATATGGTATACTTGTTCAAGGCTTTGTCCAATCGATCAATTAGTGAAATAAAAATTATCAAAAAATAATATTATGATTTCTAAAACTGGAAAATATCTTTGACAAATGTTTTATGAAATAACATTTTGACAGATAGAATATAGAACCATGTTTGGAAATCTTACACGTAACATGAAATTTCAAAAGAATAAATCTATTTCAGTAAATCAAATTCATAGACATTTTTTCTAACTCTTTATAATGCCATATTGCACTTACAAAACAAAAATCTAATAATTGCAAATGATTGAAATAAAATGAAGGCATATCACAATTTAAAAAAAAAAATAAACTTGTAAATTAGCCATTCTTTCAATATTCAATAATTTTTAAATATATTTTAAAAATAAATATTTGAAAGAATTTTTTTCTCTCATGAAAATATCGAATTCTTTTAGTTTCAGAAATATTTGTAAAAAATTACTACTACATTGAAATTCAGTTATACGTTCATGTAAGTACATCAGTATGCGATCGACGTTTATCTATTGTTTTCGTGAATACATCGTCACAGCTGGTGTTCGAAATGTTTGACGAGTGAACCAATCAAAAAGTACTTTCTCATCGATTTTGATTGTCGATGTTGAAATATCTCAATCCCAATCTATAACGAATTTGGGCATTTAGTGAATCGTTCGAATATAAAATAGAAAATATAATATAATATTTAAATTTAAAATATATAAAACAATCTTTATGACCGAATCCATAACAATCTTAAATGATCGAAATTATAATGATATTGTTAATAAAGTTATAATAATAAATAAATACGGATTTGATAGATTTTGATATATTATAATATGTTATTATTATAATTAATCACTTTAATTTTGTCAAAATATTATATATTATCTTTAGAATTTATATGAATATATGTAGTATAATGAAAAATCTGATTTTATTAAAAAGTTTTGTCTACATAGAAGTTATAATGAGTTACATATAGAAAAAATTTTTACAATAGATAATATCTTTGAGTATGTAAAATCAATCTTTAAATTTTTATCATTTTTTCATGTTTTGCATATTATTTCAATTGAGAATATTTTTTTATAATAGAACATTAAAACTTAAATATTTTATAGTTTAATATTTTACTTTATCTTGTACAAAGTTATATTTCTATTAAAAAGTTATATTTTTAATAAAAGTTATAAAACAAAAATAGTACTGAAACTTTAAAAATTGATTTCATTGAAAATAATATTCCATTAATAAAAAAATTATTCTATATATACTACTTTATATATAATTCATTATATCTTATATGTTTCATATAAAATAGAATAATTACTTTGATAAATTTATTAATTGAATTTATATGAATATACATGAATGTTACTGATTATACATATTACATATATAATTTAAATTATATCACTAATATATTTCCTTAATAATTAATTATCTTATTATTATTTATTTGAATATTCTAAAAATTATTTCTATTTGGATATCTCATAACTCCACATACTTGGAAAATTTGTTTTATCCGAATCTCACGGATTTGATAGATTACAATGCTCATTTTAATGTTCGCAGATGCAAATCAAATTCTGCGAACAACTAAAAAAGTAAGAATATAATAATATGAATGAAATATTAATTAATAGCACGTATGAAGCAAACGATCGTCTTATTTTTCGATATCAACAATTCATAAATAAGCAAAGGAGAAAAAAATAAATGTAAACAAATAAGATATCGATTCTCGGCATACATGAATTCAAACAACTATAAGCCATGCAACTGGTGACTGTGACTTCTCTCCCTCACTAGGTTCTTTCACTACATTTTTGTGGAGTGGGATAAGAAGTAAGAAAAGATAGAATAGAACTAAGATTCTACAATATAATTATATTATATTGTATATAATTGTATATAATGTATATAAATACATTTAACATGTCGAATATCAATAAATGAAATTCGTGATTAGTGCATATGAAAGAGGCAATGAGTATAGCTATTGGCTGGCATTAAGGAATGAATTTATGAAAGACATTATCATCACTATAGTTTGTATTTTTGTTGCTTCCTTATTTATTTATATTTTTATTTGTTGTATTACCTGTTATTATTAATTTTGTTATTGTGTATTTATATTTAATTTTATATTTATAATATAAATTATATTTATTATACATTATAATGTAACATTTATAATGTAAATTAATATGCTATGAAAACTGCCACTATGTCAAAAATAGTAAATACATAATCCATATAATTTTCTTCTTTTTTAATTCTTTTTATTGTTCTTCTTTTTCAAAATTCATATTTATCTAATATTAGATATAATATTAATAATCTAATATTAGATATAATTTTATATTTAGCAATTAGATACGAACGATTTAATTTTTTATATTTTGACTTTCTTTTCCAATCTATTTCTATTTTTTCTTTATCTTTTCTTATTTATTTTTCTTTTTAAAACATATAAAAAAATTGAACACGCCATTATCTTATCCATGTGCATCTATTTTTAACTGATGATTCGACTTCTTAAATTAATAATATATATTATTGTGTATGTATTCACAGTCACATAATACAATAATAATAAATATGCAATTAATAATTAATTAATAATGAGGCAATCGGCTCATTGATGATGGGAATCATAAAGTGATGATTTTTGATCACGAAGTGAAGACATTATGAATTCGCAATAAGCTAAAATTTAATTCGATATTTTTGAAGATTGCAAAGTTTGCAAGTATTGGTAGCAATAATGATGGATTCTTAAATGGACAAAAAGCTAGAAATTTATATATATAAAGCAGACATCACTAGCTTTATTTACGAAAATGGCAAACGCTTTTGGCAAATAGCTTTATTACGAAAATTCTTCAAATAAAAATAACGAATTCGTTTTTTCTCTTTTTTGAGGGCGCCACAATAACAAAGGATCACGAGAAATTGGTCGTTAAACCGAGAAAAATCCTTCAAGAAAAAAAATGCGTTGAATGAGGAGACAAAACCTTATTCTGGGGATGTCCCTACGGCACATATCTCTTACGTGGAAATATTGGTCGATTTTTTTTTTGGCAACTGATTCTTTAGCTAAGCGTCATCTCGACAATTTATGCGATCATATCGCAACTCATGAGCTGACTACTAAACAAATCGGATCTTTCCTCTCTTGGATTACTCTCTCTCTCTTTCTCTCTTTTTTTATCGACAAGCTGAAAAATCAAATTTAGAATTGTTTGTCATTAATTTTTCGCTTTATCAATCAATTTTTAAAATTATATGAATATGTAATTAGTACTGGAAGTTAATTTTGATTAATCGAAATATTGGAAAATATGAATAATATTGTTAATTACAATATTTTACATTCGATTTTTTATCATAAAATACTTTTTTTAGAAATTATTTCTTTTTTTTTTATCCATTATTTTGTACACACTAACTACATACATTCATTTGTTCATTCAATATAATAACAAATAAAATGTAAATTGATATAAATATATTTTATACATAGGATGTTATGTAATTAATATGATCGATCAGAATTTTAAAATTAATTATAAAAATAAGTTTAAAAAAAAATAATAAAATTTTTTCATTTAAAGTTTCGAGTCAATCAGTTTATCGATTGCAAATGAAATTGATTTATTCTTGTTTGCATTTGAATGACAATTTATTTTTGTAAAAATTATAGATTACTTTTATCACATAATCGTCAAATTTTCAAGCTCAATTTTTTTAGAAATTGATTTTAAAATAAAAAAAAATTATTATATTTTTATTATTTATGTTCATAGATATATAGAATATCTTCCTACCAGTACATTCGACATAATTAAACAATTTCTCCTTGTATTTGAAAATTTTGCAAATTTGATTTATTCGAAAACGAAACTTCAATCAAAAAAATTTTATTCTTTTTTTTTAATTTATTTTTATACATAAAAATCTTTTATATTAATCTTTACTATCAATTACACGTTAACTTTATATATTTTTGTTTTTACGAATATATGTTCATTTGCTATTATAAATATTAGATAATAGAAAATTTAAAAATTATTAAATTAATAATTTAAATTAATAATATTATGCAATATCAACATTTTAATTTTTTAAATTATGAAATATAAGGATAAATTTTTATTTTCAATTTAGAATATATATCTTGAATTCTCATAAAAAAAGATAAAAATTATGTTAATTTCACAGATCGAAATAAATAATAGAATTATTTATGAAAAAATTTAATAATTATAATGTAGACCATAGAACTTTTTTAAAAAAGTTGTCGCATTATAAATCCCCATGAAAATAGATAAAAAATAATTCTTGAAAATAAATAAATATTTTATTTTAAATATATAATATATCAAATATAAAAAAAATTTTTTTTATTGTAGAATAGATATTTTGTTTATCAATATTAAAAAAACTTTCAAAATCCAAAAAAACTTTTTTATTTCGATCCAATATATCCTGGATATAATAAAAATATAGAACTGCTTTCTTATTATTATATACAAATCTTTCAATATATAAAAAAATTTTCTTTACAATTTAAAAAAAGTTTGAAATAAATCGTAAAACGAGGAGAAAAAGAGAAATGTGAGATCTCGAAATGTTCGTAGGATTCGGAGCTGTGCATTTCCCTGGGGTTGAGTTTGCAGTATCTTCGAATGACGGTGGTTTGTTGGCTGGCTGCGATGTGTCATCATCTTTACGCCACGGTCGCATCGATTCCACGGCGTGACGATCCACCGACTTACCTCAAGTACAGCATCTTCGCCTGGGGTGCACCATTTCTCAACCTCGCCGTTGCCATTTTTCTACAGATTCGCGAAACGAGCAATATTTGGAACACTGTGGATCTCACGCCTTTTAATTGCTGGTAAATTTTATTCTTTTATTTTTTTTTTTTGTTTTTTTTTGGATAAATTTCGTTTTATCATGTACAAAATTTTTATCTCCTTTTATTTACAACAATCCTTATCAATTTTTGTCTTTTTCAGATAAATAAAGGAATATTTGAAAATATTTAATTTTTTACGATTAATTTAAATTTTTATGGAATATTCATTGTACTTTATGATATAAATATTGTAAGTTAAATATAATTATAATTAAGTTTTGAGATTATGTTCAATTAATTTAAATTTTCTTTAATAGAATATTCAATATATACTAATATATAAATATTATAATATACAAATGTTAAATGTAATTATATTGCAGAAAAAAAATTGTTTTTTATTAAAAATTTATCAATATTTGAATGACAAAAAGTTTTTCATGAAAATCAACAATATACGGAATTCATTAAAAATAATTAATTATTAAACTAAAGTTTTTGAAATGCTGTTATAAATGTCAAATGTATAAATATATTAAAATAGTCTGATAAAATAAAAAGTATATAGTAATTTAAACTTTCTTGTATATTATGGAAGAGAACACAATGAAAAAAATAAAATTATTTTATCAATTTGAAAAAAAATCAATTTGATCATCAAAAATTAAAGAAATTATTTATAGTAAAATAAATATAAACACAAAGAAATAAATATTTTCTATCTAATATTTTTTGATATTTTCTGTTTATGTTTTTATTATTAACATTGAAGTTATTAACAAAAGTTTTGTTTTTTCATTGTTTTCTTCTTAATTAATTTTTGAAGAAATAAAATTTAAGTTATTTTTTTTTTTGTATTTACTTTATTATTATTTACTTCTATTTAACATTCTTATGTGTTTCATATTTATATTATAGCATTTTATATATATAATTTTGAAAAAATACTATTATATTGACATGTTTTTGATTGACATTTAATATATTAATTTCATTTTTGATAGATTATGATATTTATTTTAAATTATTTTTAACTTCTCATTTTTTATTTTTTAGTGATGAAAAATGATTTTTAAATTATGAATGTTATAAGTATATGTATATATAAATAATAGTGAATAAATATTTCATTCTATAATGTATTCGAAATATGCTTGCAAATAAAATGCCACATTCTATATATATATTTTTTTATTGGCTTTTAATATAATAGAAAAATAATTAACATACAAAGCATTATAATTAGCATGATCAAAAATTTCATTTTTTCGAATTTGTCTAGTACATTTTTTAGACTTATGTAAAGATCTTAGAAATTGACTAAAAAAACTTAACTGATATAATTCTTAAAATAATTTCAAATATCTTTTTCCTATAAAAATTTTCTTTACAGTTTTGTTGATAAATTATGAAAAATATTGACCAATCATAGAGCGTAAATTTGCAACAGTAATATTGGTTATGTATCATCAATGAGTAATCAGATTCGAAACAAATGGAAACAACATATATCAAAGCAAGTGTGCAAAATAATCGGGCAAAAATTATATCAAATTATATAAATATCTTATTTACGAATAATGATTAAATAATTAGTTTTTGTAAAAAATAAAAAAAAAGTCGAATTTATTCGTTATTTAAAATAAATAATTGTACGAAATATTGTACGAAAAAAACGAATTATAAAGCTTTTTTAACAGATTTAACAGATAAATAATATATATTTGAAATAAAAAAATGAATAATTCATTATAGTCTGCATCGAATTAAAAATAATTTATCAAATAATTAAATTCATTTATTTAACTGAAAATTCAACTCGAACTAAATATATCATTGTATTGTTCCATCACTGCATCGATATTTTTAATGGACGAATTAATTTATGATAAATTAGCACAAATCTGATTACAAATAATTCATCATCAAAAAATAACAGGAAAACCATGTATCATCGCATGCTTATCGTTCACTTCACTGTACAATCACTAATAACATTTATCACTTGTAATCCAATAATAGGATTCAGTTAAAAGAACTGAATTTATATTTCTTAAATTATTTCCATGATAGAGATTAATAGCTCAAGAAGGATTAAAATTACTTTGCCTTATTTTATAATTAAAAATAATAAAAATAATAAAAATAATAAAATAATATTAATAATAAAATTAGGTAATTATTTTAGTTATTCTTAAAGAAAAAACATATATTTTAATTTCTTATTCTAAAAGAAAAAACATATATTTATATTTAGTGTTCACAGAGACTATACTGCAATCAAATTCATCCATCGTGAAAATTTTTATATAGATAAATCAGACATTTCTTCAAAGCCCATGTTAAAACAACATATTTTATAAAGTCGCCATAAATGCCAATTATAATGTGATTAATTATGCTGAGTATGAACAAATTGTAAATTGATATTTTTCGTTTCAAAAAATGTCTATTGTGTAATTATTATTACATTATTCAAATATCTAAAATATTGTACTATATAATAAATACGCATTAATCTCAAGATTGCCGGACGAAGACTAATTTTCAAAGTTTGTCAGTCCATTTTTCACACTTTGATTTGGAAATAATAGAGAGGGAAAAGTTAAATTAATGAAAAACTATGCGATTGGAACACCGCCTATCGGAATATACGCGTAAAATACTTTCAGATTATAGTAAATTGTGGCTTTTTCCAATCATGATATTAAATGTTATGATTTTTATCATCATTGTATTGTCATGATATTAAATTTAGTATTGCAATATGTTGTTACATAATGACAAAAAAAATTATGATGTTTAATATCACGTGAAAATATATCTTAATGCTTTCAGTAGGCGGCATAGCAATCGCATCGTGTCATTTTCTTTCTAATTAGTTTTTTCCCTCTATATTATTCGCAAATTAGTGAATAATATGAAATCATATCTTCAAACTTCATTCAATTTTTGATCGATTTCATTAATATAATATTTATAATAATGTGTTTCTATCATTCATTGGTATCATAATAAATCGACATTTATTTTGTGAATATAATAAATGTGACGATGAAGTAAATTCGCATTTTATTAACTTTAATATAACTTTTTTTATGTTTATTGACATCAATTGACAATTTGAAAAAGAATTTGATTGGTTTTTCAAAACGATTCGTCTAACTATACATATTTGATATTGCCGAATAGTTTTGCCGATTGATAAATCTTATATAATTTAATAATTTACATAATTTATATATGTATTAAGTAATACAATACATATTTTGTAAATATGAATAATTAGGTAAATATTTTAATATATATTATAAAAATACACAATCGATTTATAATTTAAAATAAACGATATTTCGATATTTTTACATTATCAACTTTTTTATCAATTTTATTTTAAAATCAACTAAAAAAAATTGATTAAAATTTTTGACTATTATAAAACAAAGTTCATACTCTTCTTTTTTTTCTTTTTTATATTCTTTCGAAAACTAATGAACAAAGTATTCGTTATATAGTCTTAGATATCGTGAATCAACGAGACAAAACGTGCTACGATCTAATAAATGCTCATATCTGTAAAGTTATAAAAATTATTATGTTTTACCGTTAAAAAAAAATTGTGAGTGAAATAATATTGAAGTGTGATGATTAAATATATACATATTTCGAAATAGAACTGAATCATCGAATCAAACTAAATTTTAATTTCTTTCTTTTTTGCTCAAATTTTTCGATCTTTTATTATATTTCATTGATAAATGCTATTCGATAATTGTTATAATATAATATTATAATGATTATATTGTTTATTTATTATTTTAATTAATGAAATTTTTTATTACATTATTATCTTTATATAATATACTGGATAAATCAGCTATTTATAATCACAAAAACTGAAATATTTAAAATATTTTTAAATTTTTAATTACAAGTTTCAAATAAAAGTTAAATAGTTATGATACAGAAAAATTTGATATAATTCATTTTTTTATAGATACTTAAAAACTTTTTTTAAATAGAATTATTTATTTTTTAGATTACTCAATTCAATTCGTTATTTTCTATAAAAAAATATTAAATTATTTATATAAAATAATTACTTCAAAAGATATTTTAACTTGAATTTTGTAAAATTTATCATATAAAAAAAAACCCGGAGCGATATACGTATCTATTCATATTTTTCTTATTTTTTTATATATCAAGTTTTATGAAATTCAAATTAATAATTCAAGGTAGGTGAATATATATGAATATATGTATTATGGGAATTTCTTATTCTTGGCATACGATCGCATCATAAACTTTTCTGAAAAATGTAAAAGATGAAAAAGAGTTTTTCTCATATTTAATTTTTTTTTATATACATTCAAATAATTATACATACATTTGGATTTTGTAATATTTTCCTGTTTTATAATTGCTTTTTATATTTTTTGACTTTGATTTTTGATATATTTAATATCTATTAAATTTAAAATATATTGTTAAAATATTTAACATATTAAATATTATATTTAAATATTATAAATATTATAAATATTATATTTTAAATATTAAAATATTTAAAAAATGTTAATATCATTTTTATAAAAAATAAAGAATTGCAATTGATCCAAATATATGATTGTATAAAATTTTATATATTTTATATATTTATGAAAAAAATTATATCAAATTATATTCAATTATTAAAATTATTCAACTATTGTCTGAAAATTTTTTTGATATGATTAACATTTTCGAAATTATTTCAATTAATAATTTGAAATTCGAAGTTCAATGAATAAAAAGTGATTTTTTTTTTTTTTTTTTATATCGTTTTCTACGCAAATAGAAAAAGATTGAGAGAAAAAACGAAAAATTTCCATATAATTATTTTATATTTTCACTAATTTCATTACGTTCTTATCTCATTATGTAGCATATAATACATCAAATAACAATCATAACTTAAAAGAAATTTTATATATGTTATATCGAATTACATCTAATTACAGCATCTAATTATAAAAATTTAAATTTTTATACAAATTCTTAGAATTTAAGTACTACATTTTATTTTATTTCTTTTAATATTATATACATTCATTTTTTTCATCTATATATTATATACATTATGCAATTTTAAATTACAAAACTGAAAATATTGCTAGCTAAAGCTATAAAATCAGAATTTTTCTAATATAAAACTATAAAATCAGAACTGTTTTTCTAATATAAAACTATAAAATCAGCACTGTTTTTCTAAATGCTCAAAAATTAGATTCTGAAGATATGAAATTAAAATAATTGAAATGTGATTCAATTGATATAACTACAATAATATTAGGTTATCATATTTTTTTTTTTTTGTACAAATATACAAGAATGCAAAAATATCGATTCCAAAGTTTTTTTCAGAATCAAGTCGAGTTCTCGAAAATTTTTCGATAACTAATGTCTCGAAATTTTGAAAATCAATCGTGTTTCGGGACAAGCTTTAATGAACAATATTGAATGTGTTTATAAATGACCAAAAAATAGACCATAGAGTGTCACTGTATGTCACTTTTGAAAATTCGATGTGATCAAATCCGAACAATTTCCGACCCGAATATCCGAATATTTTCGGATTCTCTACTATTTTGCTAAATATAAAACCAATGAA